GATGGCATGCAGATATTATAAAATTAAAAATATGAAACCGTAATTTATGAAATAAAGAGCAATTATGATCTAAAGGGTGTCAAAATTTACAAAAAAATAACTTATCTGTTTACTTTATTAAACATTTCTTTCAATGCGCATATGCGTAAAGCATACATTACGCATATTTGAAATTAGAAAATTGCAACCAGAAAACTATTTGATGTGTATTCGTGATATTTATAATGACGAGGAATTTGATTTAAATCATGTCAAAGACGGAGTACATTGAGATGAAATACTACATTTAGAAGGAATTATAAGTCGAATAAAATAAAAACATCTGCCCTGAAGATAAGGATAGTGCTGACAGATCAACTTCCAGTTAACTGCACGCCGCGTTGTTCCGATGTGAAAAGCGATGAAAATCCCATTTCGCACAAGTAGGTGGTAGCAAAGGGTAAGAGTAAATGCAGTGCTCCGTACGACAACTCTGGATAACGTTCTAACTGTGAACACCAGAATTGTTGCAATTCTAATTGTTCGAATTCCATTTGAACGTGTCCATTTGCTCGCATTTAAAAAAGTTGATCTTTTTTCAGATCACTATCATCCATCAAATTTAAGTCAAATAGAAAATGGATCCAGTATCCATCTCTGAGTTTTGGTAATATTTCCGGTAGAAAAATATCCAATGAATGATTCGCTCAATCGTCTCAAATGTATTACAATGTCGGGTATAATTGTATTCTTTTCATTTTTCGCAATAACAGAATCAACCAAGAGAAAATTTGCAAAATTCCCCCTTTCTACTCAACGTATCCAAATTTCCAATTTTGCGATAAATGAAGATATTATTATATTTATACCAAATCCTTGCATTGATAGATTCAATTCATTTAAATGGCTAAATATGTCAGCCAGCCTCAGCATTGCATCATTACTCTCAAAATCTTTTACTAAATAAGTTTTGACTAGTCAGTAATTGAATAATTTCCTCAAGCAATTTAAAAACTCTGTTAAGCATGCGACCCTTAGATAACCATTGTATTTCGGTGTGATATAGGAGCATGGTATGATCAGCACCGATTTCTTTGAAAAATGCAATGATTAAGTTACTGCTGTAGTTAGATGTTGTTTTATACTTTCTGGCAATGCTTTCGACGAAAGTGCATGAAGATGCAACATGCAATGCGTTATTATAACTTCCGGTAATTCTTTTTTCACGTTGAAAAAAATCCTGAATTTTTGCCTAACATTGCTAGGGCTCCAATAGTGCATATTGAGCCAATCACATTTATTGGTAATTAATATTTAGTAAAAAAATCTTTGATGCGATTGAAAACATCAATTCCTCTCATATTCACCTCCAGTGGTTCACAAAATAGAAATTCTTCTATCACCTCTTTTTCCTTCACATACCTGACAAATACCAAAAGTTGGCTAGAATTATCAACATCAGTTGACTCATCCAGTTGCACACTTATTTTTAGCGGACTGATTTTTATGTCTTCAATTACTTGCATTAAAATATCTTCATTGAGATCTTGGTAATTCGCGATCGTATAATATCATTCGATAATGGAATCTGTTGGATTTTTTTATGTGCTTTTCCGAATCTAAAACTGTTTTAGCAATAATTAAAGCAGAAGGTTTAATCAACTCTTCAGCGATCGTGTGAGGTTTCCTTTTTTTTTTTTTTTTTTTTTGCACATAAATATGCCACTTGATTATGACGCTTCTAATAAAGGTTTTTGAATTGCTGGTCCGCACAAATTTTAGGATAGTTCCACTGATGTCAAACCGAGCCTTCTTTGACTTCAAGCTGTTTCATGCTATGTCGCTTTTTCGCCACCATGCAGATTGTTGAAATGCTCTAATAACATTGATGGTTTGAGATTGCTGTTTGAAAATATCTTGGAACACAAGATGCATTGCGGTCGTTGTGTGCCATCTTTTTCGGTTGTGCAGGTAAACCCATAACCGACATACTTATCGTTCCATTGTCATTTTTTTTTTACATAGTGGGGTTCACTATAATTGATTTAATTATTTAAAAATAATGCAATATAATATATATATAATGTTCTTACGTTTGTAATATCTCTGAATCCTATTCGGCTTGAACGAGCAATTAACAATGTATTAGTCTCAAGCAGTTCCTGGACAAATCAGAATACACAATGCACACGTCACAAACACAATAGTTGACTCAACCTAACAGGGGCGCAGTAGATGCAGATACAAATCCGTAGATTCCATTGGAGTAGCACATATTGAACTCAGCACATGCGCAAGCTGGGATAACTTTCTCCGCTTGTATTCCCACAAAGTTTTTTTTCTTTTCTCCATCACCTAGTTGCCTGTTCACGTTCGTTTGTAGCATTTCATGCTTTTTTGTAGCATAGTGTATACGCCCATCGGCACCTGCTCTTTCCTGTGTCTTTTGCCGATAAGTGAGCTAGGTGCTACCAATTTGTACGAGCTTCAATATTGCGGACATTATTGCAGATTTCAAATATTTTATTAAAAGAAATTTAATAAATGATATTTAATAATTTTTATGGTTAGGTAGGGGCTTCTCCCGCACCCCAAAAAGTACATTCCCGCACGCCCAGTTAAGAACCACTGCTCTAGTCTATGGCGAGAACAAACAGAAGTTTTTCTTTAAAATTAAATTTCAAAGTGATCTCAAATATAATTCTTTATTATAAAGGTAGTTATTGATTTGTAATATTACATAAACTAAATTCTTATAATTTAAAACTTGCTAAAAATTCAAGTCAGCTAAACTTTTAATCCATTTATCTGAAAAATCCAAACTTGTTACCATAAACAATGCAAATGTCTACTAATATTAATAACGTTTCGTTTTACTAACATGAAATATTTTTATGATGATGATGAAATATAAATGTATGTTTCCATACATTAAGAAACTTAATAACAGGCCAAAAATTAAAAACAAAATTTTTAAACACGTCCTGCGCATAGTGCAGGATCAATCAACCAATCAATCGGCTCGATAATTGAAAATTAATCGACTTGAATGGAGCTAAGCAACATCTAAAAAGCGTTTCTATTAATATGCAAGATATGAGAAACAAGTTTGAAGACATTATGAAAGAAGCTGAGTTTATTGCAAATAAATGGGACATAGAAACTAAATTTGAAAAATAAAATAAAATAAAGAACCTAAAACAAATACAGAAATTATTAATAATGTTTCAAAAATACAGAAAACATATAAAGAAGACTGTTAATGCCCTGGAAGTACAACTTTTATTATTTATAAATACTTTCAGAACAGAAATCCAAAATTTGAAATCCGTTAAGGATTTAGCAATGGTAAAATACTATGACATGACAAGCAGTTATTCAGAAGTCTGCAATTCACTTGTATTTATTATTCATTAGCTGTAACCACAGCCACGAGTGAGAGGTCATTTTCACATACTCAAGAAAGACTAACACAAGATCGGTTGTCAAACCTATCAGTATTGAGCGTTGAAGCTGAGATGGCTGAGAAAATGGGCATCCAAGTATTGATAAATAACTTTGCAGAAATGAAGGTTAGGTGATGCAAATTTTAAAAGAATTTTTTTCTTTATGATGAATTTTGGCCACCAATGTTATAATTACATTTATTGAGGGAGGAAAAAATTAGAGAACAGCAGTACGGAATGAGGAAAATTAAAAGAAAACGGCAAAAAACTTTAGCATTCATATTTTTTATAAAAATCATGTATTCAAGTAGTTTAGTGTACCAAAAGTTTTTTTAAAAAGACAGAAAAAAAAAAACCTTACCATACATATTTTCTACAAAAATTGTATGTTCAAATAGTTTCTTTTATGAAGTTTATGATAAATATGTTTTATATTTAACAGATGTTTCATTTACTTTATAAAAGTTAAGCTTTTATTTCTTGTATATTATTGCATAAATCATGTTCGTAAGCTGAGTAAATTACATTAGTGTAACAGTTTTTCTGTATGTTTATCAATTATCTTGTCTGTCAGTTTATAACTAATTATGTATAAGTTTGCTAAATTAAGCGAAAAAACTTAGGCGCAGATTTCATATAAAAATTTAAAACATTAGCATGTAAAACTTCTTGGATTTTATATAAAAATCTGCACAAATCTATGCTTTCTTCCTTTTCTTAATCCTATACGTCAGCATGTTCCTTTTTTTATATAGACTTATTCATTTATTATCAGTATGGATCTCAATGAAAGGAGAGAAAAATCTGTCTCTCGCACTCACACAAAAAGTCTTAAGTAACTGAATTAAAATCATCTGACGTCAAATACCCAGAGTAAAGCAAAATCGCATTTCACCAGTTGGTCAAGGGAAATTATTTTCCTTTTTATTCTTTCTTCATGTTACGTACCTTTCAACTGGTTCCCTAAGAACGTGCTTTTATTTTTTAACATTTAATCCAGATGTGATAAAAATCATCATGAAAACATTTGATCCTGGAATCCTTGATTTTTTTTTAAACTTTTCGCGTTTTTACTTTTATTTTTAAGAACTATTGGGAAAGGGGCCCAAGAATTCTAGTTACGCCACTGTCACGAACTACTATTTTCTAATTCAGTGAAAGCAAATCATAATGACAAAAGACTAGTACAAAGCATATATTATCCAAAAACAGATTTTGAATACCATGGTAACAACGACTTAGATTAAAGATTTTTCTTTCACTCAACCTTTTTCAAGTTTGGCGGAGCTAAAATCAGTGTTTCCTTTCATAGGCCTATTCTCTAAATTACCTCATTTTAGCCTAAGTGCCGAAACAAAATTAACTAGACAAGCAACAAAAATAATGAATACACATATCAGTACATACAATATGTGTTTTGAAAAAAATCAATAAAATTTTTAATAAATACACCCAATGTTAAAAATGAATTAAAAAATATAAACTAACAAATTAGCGATTGTTTGAATTCAACGGTCAAATTTTAAAACTCTTAAGACATAAATATGCAATACAAATAATATACTACAAACTAACCCTATGAGCTTATTTCGATGAGGAATATTATATATCAAGGATCACCCTCTGTAGTTAAAATTCAAAGGTATTTTTCCGTATCCTAGGCTATCACAACAACCGCCATTGAATATAGCACTCTTTTTAGCGCATGCGTCAATAGCAGTTTGTCTATACTGTCCGCGCGGTTATATCGATGAATGCAGAAGTTAGGAAAAGCAGCAAAATATTTTTCCATCAGTTCTGCCGTTGTCGACGAAATATGTAAAATAATATTAAAATTTGCAACCAAATTACAAGAACGCAGCAATGGTCAAAGTAGTAAGGTTTTCTAATACTGCTCATTAAAACCTTTTTGTTTTATAGATGGAGTTGCACGCTTTACGACCTGAAATCGCATTCTCTACTGTGTTTGTTTAAACAACCCTAAGTCAGAATGCCACAGACCAAATTTTTTTGTAATTCAAGCAGTATTTTTCGCAAAAGAAAATATTTGAAAGATTTCATATTTTAATGGTCGCCCAAAAGCGCCCCAAAGCTTTATGCTTTCGCAGTCTATCAGTCTGCTGTTTCACTCACTCCTGCTAACTTTTTTCCTTTTTCTTTTTGTATTTAAAATAAACTCCTCTGTCTTTTTTTTTTTTTTTTTTTTTTTTCAATTAAACAGCAAAATTACAAAACGTTATAGAAGGTGGATATGTTTAGAATTTTCGATACAAACGGGCGGCTAAAACTCGTCAGGACTTGAAGAAATTCAACCAATCAGAATAAGCCATTTTCGGTGAGCAATTTTTTATACCAGCAATTGAAGGTTTTGTTTTCGATTTCTTTCCGCTCATATTCCTCTTTTCGTATCTTTTGATGACGTCTTTTTCGCTTCGGTTTATAATAATTTTCAGCATAGCTTTAGTATTAGTCCTTTTTGGAGAGAATTTTTTTTGGCGACATTTAGGCGCGATAAATGAAAAATTATGATAATCCTAAATGCTGAGCTGAAACGCCTGCCGCCATTCCTGTCCACGTAACTTTAACGAGTTTGGTACATTATCAGAGCTTTAATGGTGGGAGGGATAAATTGTAAGTTCTTCTTAAAGTTTCTTTTGTGTTTGGAAAGCACAATATAAAAACAAAATTTTTAAAATATCATTTTTAAAAAAGCCAAAATTTGACAGTTAAAACTGGTGCTTTTAACATTACATCACATGATTATTGACATTTTTTCAAATGTTAACTTTGCATATTATAAACCCCAATCTACCCCCCCCCTAAAAAAACGGATTTTTAGTAGCGTAAGGTAAACTCTTCGTGTTTCCTTTGCTAAGAAACTACATGCAAATTTAGACTTCTTAAATGTTTCTTAAAATGGGCAATAATCAAAAATAATATGGTCTAAAAATACGTTTTTGCTTCATTTCTTAAATGAGAATTATAGGAACAGGTAATTACGTCAATTCATAGAGCAAAATCAGGTTTTCATTATTGCTTTTAGAACATCTTTATAATTTGTCCAATTATAAAAAATATAATGTTGCCTAGATTATGGAATATATTGCTTATAATTTACAGTTCTAAAATTTTGTTAATCTCACAATCTAATAGCTGTATATTAATAACCTTCATTGAGCATCATTACTTTTATTAATACTATGTTGACATAATATTCGACTTTTTATTTTAAATTTAATGCAAATTTCCTACATTACTTAAACATTTAATCTAACAGAAATCTGAATTTTTTATAATAAAAACTCTGAAATAAAAGTAAGAGTACAATTTATATATAAAAATTTGACTACGTGGCAAGTACTGAACTACCGATTTCAGTGTTTTTAAATGTAATTATTATAAAGTTTTGATATATTCTTATAAAATTAAGATATAGTCTTATTCTATTATAAATATATAGATCAGAAGGCTCACTTTGTGCTTAAGATTCAGTCAACCACTTGTGGCAAGATAACTTATGATAACAATCAAGTTCAAATAAACTAGTAGTCAAAGGCTACACCAATCCATTTAGTGTGAAGTTGGCTCAAAACTTAACTGCCGTGGAATTCAACTATCGACAATCACAATGCAAGACTGAAGACTACAAATCTTTATCTAGCAACCTAGTAACGTGGCTTTGAAAGGTTAAACACAGCTTGTTTTATAAACTAAACACTTCATTTGCATTCTGGTGGGAAAATGGAGGGACAGTAAAGATCCCAAACATAAAATAACTCTGGTTTCAAAATAAAGGAACCTTACATTATACTTTATTCCCTGATTAATTATTCACTACATGAAATAGCATAATGCATTTTTGTTAGCATCATATACAAATTATTTGTTTTATTTAAATCAGAGCTAGGGTTTTCAGCGCCCAGGGATAACTGAAGATTTCGTGCCCCCTACTGCTTGCCAAGGATGGAAAACATTTAATTCTAAAATGTCGTAACATCAGTTTGGCGCCCCTTGGATTCTGCACCCGGGGACAGATGCCCCCCTCTAGCTACGCCCCTGATTTAAATGCTGTCCGAAACTGAACAGAAGTTTTGGAAAGATATTGACCATATTTTTTCGACCTATAGGTACAACACTTCTTCACTTCAGAAATAAGATTTATTTTCTAAGAAATCAGTTAATTTTATGTTAAGAAACATCACTCAGCTGCTGTTGCAAAGACTTTCAGAAAAAGTGAGGTAACTATAAATATTATTACCACAACTTTATACCATTGCTATGAAAAGCTTTCATATAAAAATGATGTGAATTAAAGCATAGAAGAATAAAAAGTACCATTATTTTTCAAAATATTTCATTTAACTCATAATTAAAAACATTCTTTTTTCTTTATTAAAAGAAGCTAATTTTTGTTGCCCGATAGTTATTGTATAAGGGCAAACAAAACATATTTAAGAAGAGAACATTATTTATGAATAGAAAATAAATATATATGCAGGCTAGCAGAGGAAGGATGCCTTCGTAAAGGACTTTTTAAGAGAAATTGGCTCAGATTCATGTTAAAATTCACACAGTCGTGTGTCACACATTCATCTTACACAAAAACTCCCAAATAGCCAGCCTGAACTACCAGTGTTCAGTGGCTTATCACTCCATTGACAAGTGCATTCCAATGACTGTTCAAATCTTTCACAGAAATCATCAGTTATGACAGTTACTGTTGTGTGTTATTACCATTGGTAAAAAACTTACTCATTTTATGATAATTTTATTTTAGCTTTTAAATTATAATCATAAATTACTTGTAATAAATTGAGTTATTAAAAAATACTCACTTCTTAATAATATTATTACCATCTACATAATTTAATTCATAAGAAGTATATCTAACACTGGTAAAAAATTTCGTTGTTATGATAACTCAATCTGATTACTTTCAATTAGAATTTTTTTTTTTTTTTTAATTTATTTTCTTTTAATAATAGAATCTAAGAAACAAAAGCAACATCCACTAGCTTTAAATGCATTTATTAACCTTTTTGTAAATTTCATTAATTATAACATAAACACTGCCAATCATAGCAGTACTAAGTATTGAAAATTAGAGAAAGACTGGGTTTAATCCTAGTATCCGGTGCACAATGGCTACTTTTGACGATTTTTATGATGAGCAATAAAAACAGGACATATACGATGAGTAGTAAACGGATCATTCAAAGAATATATATAGTTATACATAGTATATACTATGTATATAGTGATAGTATATACATAGATGTTCTTTGGGTCACTTTTTGTTTTTGGCAATAATTTTCAAAATCGCGCCAAGGCTGCACCGTATATTCGGATTTTACCAAAGACTCTTTTCTCCTGTATTCTAATCAAGAGCTTATTTTTCAGGATTGTTATTTAGATATATTTATCCTTAACGGGTTTTGTTGACAATTCGCCATTTTTTTACGATCGTCAAAGCCGGTTCTACCTTGGCGACAAAATGTCGCCAAGGAAGTAGACAAAAGTTTGTCGCCAAATAAAAATCGCCAAAAGGACTAATGCTAAAGCTGTTCCTAATTTTCTTTTATTTCTATACAAGTCAACGGAGTGAATATGGAAAATTCGGTGGATTCTCACATGAAATCTGTAATAAAACCTTTAGCCTCTCCCCCCCCCCCGCAAAAAAAGGTGTACAATGTTGTCTCGCAAAAATTATTTGCTAAATTGGATATTTTGCTTCATTTTGTAGCCCTGAAAATTACAGAGAGCATTTATTTTTTGATGACCAAGTTAAAAAAGCACACAAAGCCACAAGCTTATATGCTTTTTTTCCAGAAGGTGCTTAAATACTAACAAATTACAATTTAATTTTTTAACTCTCTCTAAAATGTATTACATATTTGTGTATGTTTGTTTTTTAAGAAATGTAACACATTGAATAAATTAATAGTAAAAATCTCAAATATACTGTATTTTTGAAAAGGTTAATATGTAATTTTTTTAATTGTTTTGTTTATCTAATAAAATCTGGTATTCTCTGTTAATTTCAACACATAAGAAACATACATAATATGTTAGGAAAGTCTTCCAGTTTTTATATTTGAATCTCATTTCAATTAAAGTACTAGATTTATATTTGATTTCCAAAACATAACATTTGAAGCATTAACGCATGTAAAAAATGTCAGTAGCATAACATGAGGAATGTAAAATGTGAAAATCTTTATAATATATTAGATATATGCAGTTCTTAATCATCCGAAAAAGAGCCCATGAATGTTAAGACTTCTGAACATTGATATAAGGTTTATATCCTAACAAATGTGACTTTAGACACATTTTTGCTCAGCTTATCTGGTCTGATGATCTCCATAAAATGATAAATGAAGAACAAAGTATTTGTACCCAATATTATACCTGATCTGCAAACAAGATTACTGTGGCTGTGGAGACCGACATGCCTGTGAAATTGTTATGTCTCTTGCAGATATTACACAAACACATCAGCTACATTACTTTATCAAGCAGTATGGGGATAGGTACCATATAAACCAAATATGCACATATCAAACATTTATAAGGATGTATTTTATAGACTTCCAATCTGATTAGAATTTATATTTCTGTAATACGTACTTATGAATCTTCTGTAAAACATGCTTATTTTGCTTAAATCTACTTCCAGAGTACTTTATTTTGATACAACCCGTGGTTTAGAAAAATTAATGTTTCT